TATGAGGGGTAGGTCTTCCATAAGGGTTTTTTGGGTGGCTGAAAAGTTGCAATATATCATAGATCATTTGGAAACCAATAAAAAGTTTATAATTCAACATATGCATACCATTAAAACATCTCAAGCTTTCAATAATATTTTATTTTATTATAAGGGATGGTTTTTAAGGGTTGCAACTTTGTATTGAGTTGTAAACTTTCTAATAAATAACAAAAGAAATGCAATACATTGTGAATGCACCAAAAGAATATTTTAAACTGTTAAAAACACTTTTTTCAATTATGTTGGCCATGGAAGGTTAGTTTTTAAAGATTATTAAGGGTTGAAAAGTAATTAAATTTCATTAATTATATTAAAAAACATGAAAGGAACTATATCTAACATATTTGAACATGAATTGAATCTTTAAAATACGTAAATCTGCGATTTTCGCATTTTTTTCGTACAAGCATAGTTTTCACCCCCAAATAGAAAAAAGCACACATCTAGACAATATAGCCTTTGAAGTGGAGGGTCAGATGAGCTTGTATGAAGATTTTCAGGAAAATCCATCCTGTCTGAAAAAATTGGGAGCTTTTACTTTATTTTCGCCTTCAGTGACTGGACTAGTACAGCTTATTTAAAAATTGACCAAACCATATTATATAGAACTTCTCAAATTCTAACATAAATGCCCTAATAGTTATTTTATATTTTTTTAAAACACTGTATTTATATACGTAGTGTATAAGATATCCTGATTTATTTTTTATTTGTCTTCCAAAAACCCTACAGCCTTTCAATGTCAGTCCGAACAAGAAGATGACGGAGCAGACATGAAATATTTCCTGTACGAGTCCAGTCCGGGAGTCTACGAAGTGGAAGACCTAGTTAACGCCGAAATAGACACCATGGTATCACAAAGCGACGTCTACTACCATTTCTTCAGCCGCAGTAATCCCAACGGAGTTGATATCCGGGATACCGACATCGACGCTCTCGGAAATACAGGTTTCTCCGTTCAAAGAGACACCATGTTCGTTGTACATGGCTGGAAGGGTGATAACGATGTATCACTGAACCTAAAAGTCAGGGAAGCCATTTTGTCCAAGGAGAACATTAACGTCTTCGTTGTGGACTGGAGTCCGATAGCAAATAAGAACTACATCTCCGCCAAGAACTCAGTCGTAGGAGTAGGAAGGGTCGTGNTAATTAAATTTCATTAATTATATTAAAAAACATGAAAGGATCTTTATCCAACATATTTGAACATGAATTGAATCTTTAAAATACGTAAATCTGCGATTTTCGCATTTTTTTCGAACAAGTGTAGTTTTCACCCCCAAATAGAAAAAATCACACACCTAGACAATATACCTTTTGAAGTGGGGGGGGTCAGATGAGCTTGTATGCAAATATTCAGGAAAATTTATGCTATCTGAAAAAATTGGGAGCTTTTACTTTATTTTCGCCTTCAGTGACTGGACTAGTACAGCTTATTTAAAAATGACCAAACCATATTATTTAGAACTTCTCAAAATCTAACATAAATGCCCTAATACTTATTTTACATTTTTTTAAAACACTGTATTTATATACGTAGTGTATAAGATATCCTGATTTATTTTTTATTTGTCTTCCAAAAACCCTACAGCCTTTCAATGTCAGTCCGAACAAGAAGATGACGGAGCAGACATGAAATATTTCCTGTACGAGTCCAGTCCGGGAGTCTACGAAGTGGAAGACCTAGTTAACGCCGAAATAGACACCATGGTATCACAAAGCGACGTCTACTACCATTTCTTCAGCCGCAGTAATCCCAACGGAGTTGATATCCGGGATACCGACATCGACGCTCTCGGAAATACAGGTTTCTCCGTTCAAAGAGACACCATGTTCGTTGTACATGGCTGGAAGGGTGATAACGATGTATCACTGAACCTAAAAGTCAGGGAAGCCATTTTGTCCAAGGAGAACATTAACGTCTTCGTTGTGGACTGGAGTCCGATAGCAAATAAGAACTACATCTCCGCCAAGAACTCAGTCGTAGGAGTAGGAAGGGTCGTGGCAAGCTTCGTCCAAGCATTGCAGAGCAGATTCTCGTTGAGCTTATCCACAGTCTCCTTTGTTGGCTTTTCTCTTGGTGCCCACATCTGTGGAGCGGCTGGTGCTGCCTTGAACGGAGAAGTCGATCACATCGTTGGACTGGACCCTGCTGGTCCGCTATTCTCTGTTGGGAACACTAACGACCGCTTGGACCCAACCGACGGTAGATTCGTTCAGGTCATCCACACCAATGGCGGCCTTCTCGGCTTCAGGAGTCCGGCTGGTCACTCCGACTACTACCCCAACGGAGGGTCTTCTCAGCCTGGGTGTGGTTTGGATATCGGTAACTGCGCTCATTCCAGAGCTTATCTATATTACACCGAAAGCATTTTGGCCGATACCAATCGTTTCGTGTCGATGCAATGTGCTAGTCATACAGACTACACCAGAGGTAATTGCAATGACAACGCCAAATCCGTTTTAGGAGGTTATACGGTAGATAAAAGGTAAGGAAATATACTCACTTTTTAATTTTAATATTCACGTATTTGCTTTTCNAAATAGTACATTCCATTTGAAATAAGCGAGTTGACGTCTACTTCCGGTAGAACCGGAAGTTCCACGGCGACGCCAATATTTTCAATCGATAGAACATTAGGAGAAACCCCCGTACATAAATTTTCAGAATTCCAGTACGCGTAGTTTTCCAGAAACGTCTAATTGAAGGTCTATCTGGAACACCCTGTATATAACAGTCAATTTTCATCCAAAAATACTTTACAACCTCTTGTTTTGAAGGAAATTTTATTTACTTTTTTTTTCTATGAAACAATGCATATACCTATCTTTACTCAAAAAAAAAAAAAAAAACTAGAAGCAATAAAGTAAAAAAATTCAGAAAATTGGATTTTTTGCATTTTTTCAAATTGTTTATTAACGATTTTTTTAACGATTTTTTGCTTCGTTTTCGAGCTACAATTAAAAAACTGAAAGGGGTGCATTTTCACCTCTATCTCCAATTTCCACCCCAATTTAATAGCACTCCGCGGTTTTTCATCCTCTAATCAATACCCTATTATTTTGTCATATTAGTAGCTATGTGTGCTAATACTGGGCGATTCACAAAAAAAGTTTGAATGTACAGGAAACTCACAAACACAGTTTCGAAAAAAAAATAAAAAGGGCAATACGAATATTATTTAAAAATACATTTCTGAGCGGCACTAGAAACTGGTCCACTGTAAAACTTCACCTTACGCAAGGCAAAGCATGCATTCGGCGACCGGCACGACGGCAAAGTGTAATAAAAAATGAACGGACAAAAAATTTTCCCAGGTTTCCCTGGAAAGGGAATAAAATTTTATAACGCCTATTTTATATCAGCAAATTCAACTAGCTTTGCCGCTATTGTTATTATTAATTAATAAAATTAATTTGCGGTTTTAATTAATAAAATAATTTGACATATCGAGTTTACAGCAACTGTTCAAAATTTTATCCACCGACGTATAAACACATTGTGGCCTGTCTTGCCCAGTTTCTACGAACTAACACAAATATTATCTTGCTTCAACATAACACAAATGTGGTCTTGCTTCAGCACAAATTAAAACGATATCCATCAATTACAGTTGCTATGCACGTACGCCATTTTTGACACTTGAAAAACTAATGTAAACACTATCGCAAAAACATTAATACTAACATCGGATTTCAGTATTCGGAATCGCCTGGGGATACGTGGAGATAGAGCGCATTGCGTACAGCGCACAACGGGAATGGCCCTAGAGAATACTACAACAAGGATTTCACAATATTTTTTACGTTATTGGCTCAATTTTTCATGACGCATGTATTCCAAAAGTTCTTTGGATAAGTTGTGAATCACACTGTATTTGGGGTTTTATTTTGAGATACTTTCAATTTTCTTTTTCTTCAAATGTAGTCAATTTTGCAACATCACATGTCAAATAAAGATTTAAAATAACTCTTATTGATAATTATGCATATCCCAGTCTAATATCCGAATTTATAAATTGACACAACAACGTTTATTAATAATAAAGGTAAGGTGGCGTTTTTTATTTACGTTACATTTGACTTACCAACACCTTAGCAACAACACGAAGGTGGGGGTGGACAATCTTAGACGTGACATACATCAATTATTAAATTGTGAAGATGCCATTGTTCCTTGCTAATCTCTAGATTATCGGTTAAGGAATAAATATAAAGGACGCGCTGTGAAGACAGTGGTCAGAGAGTTAGCACCCGTTCAACATGAAGGTGTCTCTGTTAGTAGCTGCGTTGTTCCCTCTTGTCTTGTCTGGGCCAGGTACATATACTTTTTAATTATTTAATAACGAATTCTTTGTATTTTAAACGGTTTTTATTGTCGGGCATATGATCTGTACTGATTTAGAACAACGTTCACTAAATCCTAGAAAAAATTTATACAATTTTTTTATATAAACTATGTCTTCATCGTATTTCATTGTCAAAATTAAATTAATTTATTAATAAGTTCAGTTTTTTCTCCAAGTAATCAACGTATCGTACTGAAAATTGACAGGCTTTTGTTTTGAGAGGCTGAAAATAACATAACTAGGTTAGTTTTTAAATAAATTTCAATGGACGTTTGTTAAGTTGCAAATGTGGAAAATTTTAGATCCCNCACAGTACAACATCAATAAAAGAAATAAAAATTCTTAGTAGAACTAGAAAATGCCAAGATTAAACAAAATAAGAGAAGATACGCTAATGGTGACAGCGATAACATATCAACAAGAGCTCACCTGCGTATGAGGCTATTTATTCTTCCCGAACATGCGCATTAGGAATAACACGGCTAATGTTAAATTTTTACTTTATTTAAATTTAGGAATATTCTGTTATATCGTTTTTTTGTAAGTTTAAAGTACATTAGTGTATCTACTTTACGAAACACGTGTTGGTTGTTCTTAAATACTTCCAAATCCTAATCCTCAAAAAATAAATTAATTTGAAGTTGTTCATTTTTATGGTATCTATGTAAATAGTACACAAGGGTCAGATTCGGTCTGTACAATTTCAACTATGACAATTTGTTGCGGGTTGCCTAAATATGTGACGTCACACTAAAAGAGTCTACGGTGAAGCATATTTAAATGTAGTTTGTTCAATTGTTTTGCAAGTGTTTTACAGTACAGTAAACCAGTACAGTAACACTTTTTTCTTCCTCTATGCACATCTTCACTAGTTCATCATATCTGCATCCACCAGCAACAGCTACCATCTAAACATAAAATAATAATTTAATAAAAGAACTCGGAAATTTGTAGCAAGCTCCATCAGGTGTGTCTTTACGAAATGTAAAGGAACTTTATTATACAGGGTGTCCCATCAGGAATCGCCACTATCGATATCTCGGAAAGTACTGCTCCTATCAATCTGAAAATTTGGCAAACTATCAAAGGCAGTTGGGCCAATACAGCTAAAATATTTAGAACTTTATGGCACTTCCGTTTATACCGGAAGTCGACGTTAACTTTCTTATTTTAAATGGGACACCCTATATATTATAGCATTTTCGGATTCTACGTAAATTTTGAGGGTCACTTTATTAAATATTCCCTATACCTAGAAGTTATAGATTTTGAGATATTAATTTTTAAAGAAAAAAATTGACAGCAACTCTTTTCGGGAGCGTGATATCAAGTGGAATTTTGGTACCTGCATAGGGCATAGGTACCACTAAATTATAGTATATCAACAAATTAAAACATTTAATACTAGGTGACTCATTTTTGCCGTTACATTTTGATAACTTCAAACAGCTATAACTTTGTTAACTTAAGTGGAACACTTTGTATTTTTTACTTTGTCGTATGCAAATTCAAATTTCCTTTCAAACCATATTTTCTATTTTTTGGACAGTTTTTTTTTATATCAGACCTGTCATCAAATTGGCCATGACGAGAAACACTCCAAAATCAATTAAAATAACTTGACATTTGTTAAGTTAGTTGTCAAATTATTAGTTTTTTTTTCCGAAAAATTAAATAAAAATGCCTGGGGATCGTTTAAATTATACTAATGAGGATTATTTTAATTTGTTTGTAATTTATAGGAAAATATGACAAAGTAATTTCAAGAATTTGTAGAGAATTTGCTGCTCGATATCTAGAAAAGCGAAGGTTGTATAGATAAATCAGTTATTTCGGTATTAAGATAATATACTGTTCGCAGTATATCCACTTTATCTTACTTAAAATCAAGGACTTGAGTGACAGGACGTATTGTGTCTTCGTTTATTTATTTCTACTTGTTTTGCTATCAGTACTTGAATGTCAAGTGGTAGACCACTTGATAAGATACCCTCTGAAATATGTGCAAAAATTCTAACCACATATTTAAATCGATAAAAACAACTAGTTTCTACTAATATAAGGTTGTTATATTAATATTGGGTATTATTATACTTTCATATTTTTATATATTTTACACATTCCTTGAAATACGGTAATTTAATAAATAATTACCAAGTTTGTAATGCTAAGATTAAATATACTTTAAGAAACATTTGCTATTTGTCCCTAATCTGTCACGTTCACTTAATGGGTGCTCCGAAAAAATGCAGCCAATTTCGGATTATTGAGGTATATTAGTTTTGCAATGCGAAATCAAATTCTGTTAATTATTCTCGAATTGTTTACTGATTTGTTTCTGTTTTTGCTGAAAATTTAAATATTTAACATATAAACGTTTCGATACACAACAGTCATTGAAAATGGATTTACATTTAACTTGTGTTTATTTGTGTAATTTATTTGGAATATTAAAATAAAATGGAAAATTTTCAAATGAAGTATGATTTTTGAAATCTTTTTTATTTATAAAATAATATAAACTTTCAATACAAGAAGTAAAAAATACAGCAGCGTATAAACAATGAAATATTTATACTTTGCATCACAGTGCATTTTCATTTTGATAAATTATAAAATTTTTAATATAATTTTTCATTTTAAAATTAACATTTCAATAATTTCAGTACATTTTTAGAATATTTTTGGCTGCAATAACATCGTATCACAGTATAATACTACATATATCAAAATGTATTATACTCACATAAATGCAGTCGCCTTAAACCCTTGTTTTATAAGGGACATTTGTATCCACAGAAGTGCATCATAGCAGTATGGTACTTATGCATGTAACTAAATCATATTTAAACTTTTCCACGCGAATCACTTCATGATCACAATTTGTAGGTAATCTAAAATAGTAAAAGTTCTTTGCAAAAAGAGCAGTGCATATTTTGTGTCGATTAGTTGATGCCCTCGAACGGTGTGCGGAGGTTCTGGCTGCACAATCTTCTCTTCAACAGTTTTTTTCCTGCTTTTACTACTTTCTGTTCTAATTCTCAAGCACTCATACTTTGTTTTGGTCACAAATATTCCTTTCTGCCGACTCTGTTCTCATCCGACATTTTATGCCAACTTACAAAAATAATAAACTCAGCATCTCGCGCTCTGTCCAGTCAACTGGC